TCCATGATTGTATCTATTACGAAGTTGAAGAGGAACGGGGAGAGTGGGCATCCTTGCCTCACTCCGCTCATGGTTGTAAAACTAGGCGACAGCTCATTGTACACCCTCACTCGGGCCACCATTTGTCCATACAGGGCCCGTATGATATTCACATATTTGCATGGCATTCCTTTTTGCAGTAGTGTCGCAAAAAGGGCCTGTCTATCTACCGAGTCAAATGCTCCCCTGAAGTCCAAGAATACGGCGATGGTCGGTTGTCTGTACACGTCTCTGCTTTAGGATCTGTCGAAGGGTGAAGATGTGGTCAATGCAGCCCCTACCGGGTCTGAATCCCGCTTGCTCCTCTCTTATACACTTTTCTCTATCTGGGGTGAGTCGCCGCAGTAAAAGAGCGGCTAACAGCCTGCTTATAACTGGTGTGAGGCTAATGCCTCGGTGGTTGGCACAATCACCACGCGTGCCTTTCTTGTACACTGGGATGATAATCGAGTCACCCCATGCTTCTGGAACGCTTTCCTCCTCCCAGATTACCTTGAACAAGTGCACGAGTTCTGGGGTTAAGACGCCCAGACCGTCTTTGAAAAGAGCTGGGGATACCTCGTTGGGTCCGGCAGCCTTGAAGCGCTTCATAGAGTTGATGCAGCTTACAATTTCTTCCTCAGTGGGCGGTTCTAAATTGGTGGTCCATACATCCGTTTGCGAAGACATCTCCAGCGGGGCGCTCACGCTTGGCCAGCTAAACTGATCTTTGAAGTGTTCCGTCCAGCACTCCAGACGGCGGCCTCTGTTAGTGATGAGAGTACCGTTCTTCTCACAGACGGTCTCGCTCACCCCAAGCTTTCTGGGTCCCGTGGATCGGATCAGCTGGAATAATCTGCGCAAGTTACCGCTATTGTTGGCGTTTTCCATGTCTTGCGCTTTTTGAGACCACCAAGCTTTTCGATCATCCCGAAGGCTGTGCTTAAGTTCCCTACCGATCATACGTCTGGTAGCATTATGTTCTGAACCTGCAGGAATCCGGCGTCTACATTCTAGAATCTCAAGAGATCCAGTGGTTCCCATTATCATTAGATGGTTTACCACATACTTCTACACATGCCCGTTGCATAGCAGTGGAAATCCTTGTCCAAAGTTGTTCGGCGGTATCGTGAGCAGCAGGTACGAGCGCACTTGCTAGTTGACGTTGGTATCGTTGCTTCATGTCTGGGTCGGACAACTTATCTGTTGCCAGATGCAGGGGCTTGCGGAGCTGTCTTCCCGGGAACCTAAAGGTAAGACGACAATGGACAATAGCGTGATCGGAGTTCACATAGGTGCTCCAGTAAGAGAGGCAATCTTGCACGCTTCCCTTCCACCTGACGCTAATAGCTATATGATCGAGTTGCAGCCAGGATTGATCAATCGCTGGAGGTCGCCAGGTTGCGCACTGACTTTTCTTGTGTCTGAACGCAGTACTACTGAGGAAGAGTCGGTGTTCAGAGCACAGATGAAGAAGGCGTTCACCATTATCGGTGCGCTGTCCCTCAAGACCGTATCTCCTTCCAAATTTCACGATACAAGATATCACTACATTTACTGAATCAAACACAGTGGACCTGCCCACCTTTTTCCATTTTTGGAAATGTTGATGTACACCTACTTCTGTCTGTGACATGTGAATAACCAATCAAAAGCTCAGAATGTCCCTCCGGTGGCTTTATCAGCCTCTTAGGGGTAATTGGGCAGCATATTCTTTCTTTTTGAGTTAGATTCCAAGTGGTAAGGTAACACTAGTGAGCTCAAAATTTCATATTTTTTAGTCCCAAATACAACTTAGTTACTAAGCTTTATAAATTATACTGGAATTCTATGGTAATGATATAGTAATTTAGGATTTTTTATTTCAAAATATATATATAATAATAATATAATATATATAATATAATATATAATATATATAAACCCTAAAAAAATTATTTTGTTTCACATTCTCCACACGCAAAATTTGATAAGGCTTAGGAACCTACGGCAAGTAGCAAACAAATACAAAGTTCATAACTAGAAAAGATAATTGTTTGCTATACTTCTTTATATACTGTGCTATGTTTTAAGAAAAATAAGTTTAAGAACTTATTTGTAAATAGTAATAATGTATATACATATATAATGTATTATAACTGAAATGTGACCGTAGTTTACAAAATACTAGTCCACTAAAACACAGACAAGGCAGGTCACTACTTTCCAAAGGCCAGTTTTATATTCTTGGATATGGTAACATGAGTGCATGTGCAGCTCATCATTGCAACTTCTGTAATGTTAGCCAGACATGGCTGAAAGGTCAATATACTAAAAATAATAAATATATATAAAGGTATAATGTTATGTGATTTAAGCTATTTAGACTAAACATTTGTGTTTTCATGTTATAATCTGTGTCATTCTAGAACAAAAAGTGTAACTAATATTTATTTCCTAATTTTTTTATGGTGGTTACGAGGTCGGTCAAATCGACTGAACCTGTACAGAGATTCAATAGTGAAAATAACAGACAAAATATAAAGTTTTATTAAAAAATAATTGATAATTATCTGGAGGTTATAAAGATTTCACATGTGAAATTTGAAAATTTTGTGATGTATAAAAGTATTTTTATTTTTAAAATCAAAATTACTTTGCATGTTGGATAGTCAATATTTGAAAAGAAAAATACACGAGAAAAACATTACTTAAAAGATCTTAAATATTATAAAAACAAATCTGATATTTTGCATACAAAAGCCTTGTAATGTTTGCTGAAAATCTACAAAATTCCATGAAGATACGCTTACTAATTTAAAAGTTATAGCATGAAAATTATAACAACCACAAAATGGTTACGAGGTCGTCCATGGGACCAAGCCCATGCTGAAAAAGTTAATAGAACTAATACATTATAAGATCTCAAATACAACATTAACTTGTAGAATGTTTTATCATATGATGTGATACGTACTATTAATTATAACTTAAGCTTATTATGAATTAGTAAATGGATGTGAAAATCCACATTGAGTTTGGGTTTATGTTGTAGCTGGTCATTTCTTTTAATTGACAAGGGCCTTCATGGACTAAATTGCACACACGAAAGCTACAGATTTGATTAGAAGATTACTTAAGAAGTAAAAAACAGCTTATGAGAAACAGCTGACTGATAATGTTAAACTTAACAGAAATAATTTTTTTTAAGTATGTTAAAGATAAGTGAAAGTTAAATTGAAGACTGGGCCATCAACAGATGCTGATGACAAGGTGTTTGATAAGGACTATGAGATGGCTGAACTTTTAAATGTTTCTTTCTTATTGTTTTTATAAGAATGGATGTTAACAATATTCCACATCCCGAGCATTTCTCAGAAATATTGAAACTATCCTGAATCACGTATATATTATATCTTGGTGGCAAGTAAAAAGATTGAGAGATTATAAATAGATAGAACACCAGGATTAGACAATGTTTTTCCAAGTATTTTAAAGGTGGCCAAACATCAGATGTGCAAGACTTTCATTTTTACTAAGTCAATAGACAGTCAGCCAGTACTTGAAGACTGTAAAGTTTCTAATGTTACTCCTGTTTTAAAAGGGTCATAAAAGTTGCCCTGGAAATAGAGGCCATTAGTCTTCTACAGAAGAAACATTTCTAGAAAGTCTGATAAAAGAAGCCTTACAAAATCATTTAAAAAATAAATATAATTAGAGCCAACACAGCTTCAACGAAGAGAAATGTTGTTACTTGTTATATAAATAATGGAGAGGGTGTCAATTTGATGTACTTAGAGATTATCATAAACTTTGTGATAAGGTGCCATGCCAAAAAATAGCTGAGAAAATCATATCAGTGATGATTGGGGAAAGGCTAGTTAACTGGATTGTAGAATATCTATGACAGAGAAAATAAAAAGCTGTTATCAATGACCTGATCTTACAGACGCTTAAAAATAAAGGGTGGATTTATTTTTTCTTAGTGGTGGGTGTACAGGGACAGCCTTGAAAGACACAATGAAAATGCATACCAGAGCAAATAATAATGAGAGAAAGTGTGCAAAACATAGTTTTTGCATCAAATTAAACTTACTTGCAAATAGCTCCTATAACCATTCCGGGAGGAAGAGTTGTAGGTAAATCTTTCAAAGAATGAACTACCAGGTCAACAACATTGTCTGCTAAAGCCACTTCAAGCTCCTTAGTAAACAAGCTTTTTTCCCCAATCTGTAATTACACAGAACATAGTAATAGTTCAAGAGTAACTTACTATTTTGAGAATGCACTTTCTGATTTGACACAAGCAATATATACTACAAGCATGGGTAAAAGTGTAATTCAATAAATGATATATGTAACATATATCATCCAATCAAACACAGTATAAATTTCACTAACCTTAGAAAGAGCTTTTTCCAGAATTTTGTCTCCTGTTGTTGACATTGGTGTAACTGTTATGGTTTTTGCTGGATAGAGAGCTTTCAATTGATTTACTACAGCATTTGTTTGAATGAGAGCCAGCTAAAAAACAAATTGTCAAATTAAATATATAGCATTTGATATTTGAATAATAAAAAATGTATTCTAAATTCAAATATCATAAAGTTATCAATACATTATAATACTTTTTAAAGTTAACAATAGTTTAATTCACAATCCTTAAGTAAAGATACTGGTATAAATGCACACACCATAGTTTTAAATATATTTTAAAGAATAATGTAATTTAAGATAATTTAACATTTAAAACTGTTCAATAGCACAACAGCTCCACTGTAACCAAAATGTGATTTTGTGGCATAATACAAATTATGAAATGAATTGTATAACGTTTAAATGTTTTATTTACTTCAAAAAGGTTTAAATACTATTGTTAACTACATGAACATATGTTTTGGTGAGTGATTCAAATTCAATATATATTTCATGCCTTTTGAATACTTGAAGAGGAAATTATAAGAATAATAAACTGCTCAAACTTTATAGGTTTCAATCAGAACACATAATCATTAAGAATTCAACTGTAAATTAAGGTCTCTGCTCTCAATAATTGTTAAAAAGACACATTTCTTAACATGTACATGTAACACTTACTACTATTCACAAACATGTTACTCTATTTCTAAGTTAGAATAAAAATCCTGGCAGTACACAAAAACCATATAATCTATTTTGTAATTGAATAACACTACATAATTACATCAAAGTTCATTACATAATACTTTTTGTGACGCGTTTCAATGAATACATTTGTGTTAAGAATTTGACAGCATCGTTATGTTATTCTATAAAATCATTTTTATTATTTAAGAATGATTGTAAAACATGAAGAAATAATGATATAATGAGACTCACTTGCAAGTTAACTGTAGGTCTGTTGTTGCTTTTAAATATAAAAAATTGTTGAATAGCTTGTTTAAAACTAGTCCTCTTAGAATATGAATTTTTTATGTTACAAAACATTTCACTCGTCACTAAATTCCTGGGTGAGATACATCTTTTAAAATACTCTTACAAGTTGTTGTTTCAAAATATCAGTAGAATATTTGTAATTTCATTTACAGATGGTCATTTCTATACTATACACACAGACTATTTTTTGAAATTTAATATTTTCATAGCATTTTCTCGCCCTTTCTTAAGAACTTCCGTTACTGTTGACTAAAGTAGATCGAGTTTTCTCCTAAAAACAATGATTTCACTTAGAAAACTTTGCTTTTAAGTGAACATCTTGTACATTGACCAATTGCAAACACTGGCATCTACTTTAAATCCCTTATTCTATCACAAGAGGTTTCCCTTCAGTGGTCACAACAGATAGCTCAATGTGGTTTTGCTCTAAAATAAACAAAACTATCCAAGAATATTCCTCAACAGAAAACTGAACCTTCTGTTTTACATCAGTAAGTCTTACTGTTAATCTTAAGATACTCAACTACAATATGTGCTCTTCTAAGTTCTATAGTGAGCTTTTAGACACTCCGTTATCTGGAAAAAGTTTGATATAGTGTAATATCATTATAAGGTTTATGAGGTAAAAAACAACTGTTGATTCTCTAAGGGTTGTTCATCTAACCTTTTATATTTACAATCTTCTTTTAAATACATCCAGCTTATTCTAAAAGTAAAACACATTTACTTTGTATGGACTGTTTAAAACATTTAACACTGATACTTTTACAAACAAATGCTAATTTAAACTTGTGAAATAATAATTGTACTATATACTATACTATGGTTAGACAAAATTTTATTGTTCTGATTATTTATACAATTTTAAGAAATATCTCGGTATTCTTAAAGTTAGGCTTACCTGACTATTTCTTGAACCGATCCTAATTATTTCTGAATTTTTGCCAGTATCACAACCAGCATTCATGTTTATATAAAGAACAGTAAACTGTAAATGTAATACAATAATAATACAGTTAAAACAGGGATACACGAAAAATATATAATTATGTGTAAACTTTTTAAGCAAGAAATGATATTAATTTATGAATCAAGACTAGTAATATTATTATTAATAAAGACTGAGTTGAGAAAACACAATTTATCACACAGAACTTGTTGATATTCAAATCAAAAACAGATACTATTTCCGGAAGTGAAACGTTTGCCATACAACATATATTTTGTTGTTTCTTTACTCAGGAATTGAACGACAACAGGTCATACTTGTAATATACTATCTGAAGTCTAAACTATGGTGCTATTGCCTCTTTTTTCTTCACGTGGCAACAGTTGATTTACCACAATTTTACGCCACCTGTTATCAATATTGTATAGTAAGCCTGAAAACGAATGTTTGAATACTTTTATATCCAACCCTGTATTTTAAAGGGAACTGATACTTAAAATTTTATATATTCACAGCATAAATTTGCAACATGTATTTTATTTAACAGGGATAAATAGACTTGTAAGTGTCTATAATCTTACATATTTTCCTTCCCTCTTATTATTGGATGCTGGTAATAGATATTTATCATCTAATTTCGTTGTTCTTCTTTTGTATTCAATATTTAAAAGATAATTTAAAATAATAACAATAATGGACACTTCAAGTTAAAGGTTGACAGAATAAATAATTTGAGAGACACATATTTGAGGTTTGGGAAGCCGTTAACAAGTACGACATTATATCTTATTATGCAGTATTTCTTTGTTTTAGAAGTACACATTTTTGGTTGGTGTTTGTTTTTGTTTTTAGATTTTTTGCGCAAAGCTACATGACTTATCTCCTTATAGACGGAAGGCAGCTAGTCAACAGCACCCTTGGACTAATAATGGTTGAAAACGGCTTGAATGGGTAATGAAGAAAAACTTTAATATAAGTTTTTCTTCATTACCCATTCAAGCCGTCTCCAACCATTATTAGTCTCAAAGTGGGTTCCTCGTCATCGAATTTGAACTCTTGGACTACTTTTGTCTAACCGAATAGTGGGGTTTGACCGTTATTACTACAGCGTACCAACAACTCCAAAGGGCAGAGCGCGTTTTTGCAGCATTCGGACGAACAATGAGCCCTTGGATTCATTGTCCTCGCACGCTTATTACGAAGCCACGCCTGGTCTATATTATTATGAATGATCGCCTACCATCAGGTTGTATCCATGAATACTAAAAATAATTACTGATCCATTCATCTTTACTTTGAAATATAAAAAGGTGTTTGTTCTTTATGATGTAGCACTCACAACTTGAAACAATGCTTGTCATTGACCCGTTCGTATTTGCTGATTGGTAAAATTGTCCAATTCTACTTTCGAGGCTAGATGTGTAATATGTAGGCATACTACGTGTTCCATACCCATTTATTTCGTATAAGCTTTTTCAAATTTTATCACTTACAATGTGTGTGTTTTTAACATAAAACGCCGTGAGAAAGTTTTCTATAAAGCGGAACATGCTATGTAAAAGTGGACAATGGTTGGTGGGAATGACCAACAGTCTCATGGGTAGAGCATGCGTCCTGAGAAAAATAGTATTATTGTTTAGTATTAAAAAGTACTATGTTTTCTCACTCTGGGACAGATTCTTAACAGATTTTACTACTTCAGCTCCTACCATTACTTTTTGAGAGCTCTCTCTCTAGTAAAATTACACACATTTGTCTTGTATTTGATTTTGTGAATAATTAAGAAAGACAATTTCACTGTGTTTTAATTTGTGATATTGTGTCCAGTCACTCTTGTTGCTTCGAACTCAGTTTAGATTTAAAAATTCAGATTTACTCTGTGATACATTTTCTGTTGGACTTCCTGTTAATCTGCTGAACCTACCTGACTACTCTTAATGAAAATCAACGCACCTAAGAATGTTCGAAAACTGGATTGTAGTTTATTAATATTGTGTCCAGCAATTCCTTGTTTATCATTGTTCGTTACGAAACCGGATACTTTCGCCAGTTATAAATGACTGCAAAATAAGTAACATTGTGGGGTTAAAGTTAACAAGATGATATTTTTTAATAATGTATTACAGGATGTGTTCTTTCCTTAATGAGACCTCTATGGCCAGTATTTAAAGCAGACATGGCCGAATTCAAATTTGTGATTCAAATTTTGACGGGACATTTTCCTCTAAAACATAATAAAAATAATTAATAAATCATTTCCATGTTTGTTTGCTGATTGCACAAACCGCACAACGAACTAGCTTTGCTGTGCTTATCACATGGACTGAACAGGAATTTTAGCATTGTAAATCCTTAAGTTTACTACTGACTTAGAGGGACAAGTTATAGTAACTCAAAACTCGGGTTATTAGGTTGATAGTGTGTGTATTCTGAATCCATTTTAGCATAAAAGTATAACCTATATACTTTTGGTACTATGCAACATGACATAAAAGCCATTATTGGAATTCGTTATTATCAGAATGTACTGGATTTTCTATATATTATAAGCTGTTATACAAGGAACCACTTCTTTTTTATGTAGTTTTCCACTAGCTTGCCTCATTAAAAAGATGAGTACGCACGTGAATAAGATAAGTAATATCATGGTGTACACTCTCAGAGTCCACTTAATATGCCTGTCTGTCTATGTTTTCTATTTGTAATAAAAGGAACCACTTCTTTTCTATGTGGTTTTTTGCTAGCTTGCCTCATAAACAAATATATGCACGCACATGGTTAAGATAAGTAATAATACCCCGGTGTACACCCTCAGGGTCCATTTAGTATGGGTGCGGAATTTCAGGTTTCTAGATTCTTTGCTCTTGGAGTTCTGGCGAGGACATATTCTTTTCTATGTGGTTTTTCACTAGCTTGCTTCACAAAAAGATGCACACGCGGTTAAGCAGTAACACCCAGATGCACACCCTAAGGGTCCACTTAGTTTGTGGGCAGAATTTCAGGTTTTTAGGTTCTTTCCTCTTGGAGCAATGACGGTCATACAAAAATACACAGACCTACAGACTTGCCCTATTATTATTATTATAGGTGGTTTCTACAATGATTAATGTAAAATGTTATCACTACACATTAAACTTTAAATGATGGGTTTGTAGTAGTGTGATAGGCAGGTAAATCATGTTTTTTCTTGTTAATGATATAGGAATTTTTTTTTTATTTATTTAGTTTGTTATGTATTATAATTTATGCCGCACCTGATACACACAGTTTTTTAATACAAATATATTTTAATATACAAACACAAACACAATTTACAATAACGGTTATTACAAATAATGATCTATGTGCAAAAGTTTTACAAATTTACAAACAATATTTAGTCCTCTATCTAGTCTGGAACTTCCTTGATATCTTATCGAGGATTCACGATGAGCGAATTAATTTTGAATAGATATGGATACAACTTACTTAATAAACTCTAGTGTTCTTCGGTTTTCGCCGGCCACACGCCGATTTATCCGCTATTAAAGTGGTATAATGTTTTCATAAAAAATACTAATGTCCGATGTGAATCCGCTGAAGTTAAATTGTTTGTAATATTCGAAATCTGTAAACGTTCCTGGTCAAATATCTGAAGTTCCTGAATAATAAGCGTTATAACAATCCCAGTTATAGCTTCCAAGGTTTATAGTACACCAACTATATCAAACTAATAATATATGTATTTTGGGGAGTTACGTTGGTTATATTTATAGGTGTGAGGAGAGTTTCTCGAAATTTCAGTTTATG